AGGGTGGTGGCAAACCATAACAGCTGCTCAGAGCAACTAGAAGGAAGTCCTTTTTATTTGTTGCTTTCTCTGCATAACCCACATATCGTAACACAACCATTTACATTACTTCCTATCAGCGTCCAGTGCATAATTTTAAAGTGCAATTTTTTTTAAAAAAAAAAAACCCCACTCATTTTAGCGATTGGATTTCTGTTTTGCACTACAAACTAATCCATTTCAACAAGGTCAGAAATACATTATTTGGAACATTTTTACTGTAATGTCGTATCAACCCAATATTCGCCTCGTCTATCTGTCTAACATTACCTGGTTGATAAAATTTCACTATCCTACCAACTGCTTTTCACAACAGAAATGTTGCTTCACTATTAAAAAAAGAAACTCTTCTGTATGCAATTTGGAAAGGACATTCCAGGTCATGCTGAGCCATCTATCTGTCATTTAGAGAAATAAAGATAACATGCTACAAAAGCAAAAGCTTTTACTGCAAGATGTGGAGTAGCCTTCGAGAAAAGTCTTCAGGAAGATTAAAAACAAATGGAAAGAAATGTGTGGCAAAGACTGCAGTCAGAAGTTCTCTATCACTAGCCCTATTTTTACATAGGCTCCTAGTAACTTCTTTGTGTAACTTGCACGTTCTAAGTTGTGGAAGAAATGGCACTGAAATGGTTTGGTAGTAGATTTCATTATAATTCATAGCTTTAGGGAAAAATCATTCCACTTCAAATTCCAAGTCTTAAGCATCACTTTCCTTTTGAAAGAAGCTGTATTATCATCTTTTATTATACTTGTAAATAGTATCATGGTGAAAGCCTTCTAATTATACTGTTCCTTGGGAATCTACCGGTAGGTACTGTAAAAGGCTTTTCCACAAGTACCACTGCTTTTTGATTTATGAATTACATCTTATACTGCATTCCAGTGCAGCACTGTACAATCTGTTGCACACTGAATCTATATAAATGGAATATGCATCTATTTCATCAAATTCTTGCCAGCCTTACAATTTTTTTAAAATCCAAAAATATTCCCTTTGCTTCTCCTTTTCCCTACTGCAGCAAACCTATGAGTTTGTCTATGGGTCTGGAGACACCAGTGCAATTCAATGTTCTTAAAAATATAACATTAAGCCAACTTCTATACAAGCAAGCATTACAATTAGTACTGGCTAAATAAAACAGGGAACTGAGCTAATCACTAAAGCAACACTTGTTACAGGATCACATTTTTCTATAAGCATACCAAAAATAAACTTGAATTATAAATATATTTTAATTCTTTATTTTAAAAAAACCTGTTGGTTTTTGTTTTATAAAAAATATGCCTGTTGATCATACATGATCATTCGGCAAGAGACAGAACAGTTAAATTTTCAAATACCTCATTTTTCCTCCGTTTAAATTTTTATTTTTCTCTAAATGTTATAGTAAATTACATCGGGATTATGTCAGCAATCCAGCTGACACAAAGGGCACAAGTAGTATAGTTACAAGCCAAGCAACAAAAAGATGCTGGATATAGTAAAGGATTTCCACCTAATCTCCTGAAAGAAACACCAGTGCCAATAACAACTTATCAATAAGTTCTTTTAAGAAAGGCACTAATTCTTACTAAGATGCTATTTGCTAAAGAAAGATGTGTTGTTATATTCATATCACCCACGCCTAAACCTAGGTATCCCATCGCGTTCAAAAGAGTTATACAAAGGGTTTGTAAAAAAAAAAAAGCTATTAGTGTATAACAATTTTGTTTGTCATGACATGAACAGAGAAAATTAAACATGGTTTCTGAACAATCATAGATTATCCCCTAGTTACTGGTCTTGTTCATTTTAGATATTTCCTCCCCAGGAAATGTGTTTCATCTTGCTTCCCAGATACAATTACACAGTATATGTGAGGGATCTCAAATAACAAGAAGTAGGTGAAGTGGCAGAACTCTCTCTGAAAAAACTGTTTTCAAGACAAAAAGTATAGAGATTTCTAAGATTATGGCATTACTTGCATGGTTAATATCACACTAGCTATACCAGGGTAGGCAACCTTGGCTCTTTTATGACTCGTGGAATTCAACTCCCAGAATTCCTGAGCCAGCATAGCCAAGGTTGCCTACCCCTGAGCTATACCATCAACATCAAAAAGAATGCTAAGCTGAACTCAATCCAAGTTCCACAAAAATTGCTAGTCCAAACATTTTACTTTCCCCTTCAAATGCATTGACCATTTGAGGGATACCAAGAATGGGATTAAAAGAACCAATTTGGCATTTAGAGCTGCCTATATCCCAGATCCGTTGGAGGTGACTGGGCATTTGACACTTCACTAGCAAGAACCCTGCCTTTATCTTAACTCCAAGCAAGCTAAATGCCTCAGGAGCAAGTCCTTGCAGAGAACAAGCCTCTTAAACCCACACTATAATATCCAATCCATAGGCAACCCGTGACCTGTGGCTATCATCCTTTCAGAGAAATTTCCTTACCAGATTTCTCAATGTCTTCAGCAATGACAGAGCTTCTAATGCACTGCCTTCACTGGAAAAGCTGGGATACATTCAGAGATGTTTCTGCCTTGAAAATAGCCTATGTTGAACTGTATAGCACAGTCGAACATCAGCACCAGAAATGTTTTTATGGCTCTTGCATTATGTCATAAGGTGCTTTAGGAAAATGTTTGTGTTACAAAATCAAAATATCCATTCCACAAGAGTTATGGGTCCCAGATTTTGGATGAATTTGGTTAGGTTAGCTCATCTGAAGCACTTTGAATCAAAAGGTTTTGCTCTATGGCGCTGTTTTGCCCAGTTAAAGGTTATCCGGGCTACAAAAATCTGGATGACCAGTAGATGAAAAAGGAAAGAGATACACAATACCCTGACTGTTTAATGTCATCCAGCAACTGCCCCAATGTTTGCAGGCCCAATTTTTGTACCCCAGATATGACAACGCTTAACTAGTTCACCAGTTTCTCCTGCCTCACAGGTACTGAGAGAAAAATCAATTGTTAAGATGCAAAGTAGAGGATGTAAATAAATGACTATCACTGGTCTGGGACACACAGTGCCTTCCACAGTGCCTTACTTTAAACTGTTAAAAAGAAAAAGTTCTACATCAAGAACTATAATCATTTATCTGTTCACAAACTTCCTCAGCAGCGAGCAGTGCAATCCTATACATGTTTACTCAGAAGTAACTTCCACTGCACCAGACTTATTGCCTAAAGCAGAACCTAGCAACCTATAATCTAAGGACATCATGCCATGCAGTCTGGCCTCTTTTTATGGCCCTAAACTTTCCTAAAGCTTGTCATGATTGCTGAAAACTGATAGCATCATTTCCCATTTATTGAAATAAGAAAAGATGACACCTGTACAGTAGCGTAAGCCCTAAAACATCTATTTATTCAGTTTATAGCTGCCTTTCAAATCTAGTATTCTACTCTGTAACCCTGAACATAACCCTGCTCATTTATGTGAAGTATTCCATTCATTTTGCAACCTCTTCCCCAGTATTAAGCTGGGCTCCTGGACAACAAAAGATTACCTACACCTGGCCTAATGTGAAGACAACAATAAAGATACAAATGAGAATATATTAGAAAAACAATGCAAAGCACTAAACCTAACATATAAATATCTTTGTTAAAAATGGTGCATCTACATGGATTGGTTCACAGGAACAATTAAGGTTAAATATAAATAGGATGAAAGTAAAAAACAAATTAAAAATCCAATATGTGGATGTGCAAGAACATTTCCAATAAAACTCTAGTGAGACTTTGTGAAATATCTTGGAGGATTGCTCTTTGACGTAACCAAGCCTATAATAGTAAGGAACTCTCCTCTTAAAAAAAATATGAACTGCAAAATTCTTTCAGAATAATAACTGTCTAATGCCTAATAAACACATGGATTTGAGACAATCATACAGGTAAGTATATTAACCAACTGCCACATTTAAGTGGTGATGATAAATCCAAAGGCTAAAGAATATTCCTGGGCATAGGCTCAGCGTTTGTGTAAAACAGAAATGAGCCTCACTGTGTTCCATAGTGTTTATTCCCATAACAGCCTGTCATCTGTTAGCTGAGAAATGGATTGTCAGAGCCAATACTTTTCAGTAGAAAAAAACAGAGCAGAGAAAAACTGCTGCAAGCCATATAAAATTAAATTTTACTTTCAACAAAATAGTAACATCTTACTTTATTTCTCTCTTTTCCATCTTCAGGAATGACTAAAATGTCCAGTCATATCAGTAAAAATTCTAGGGAGGGAGAAGGCTTTGACAAAGACAGCTTATAGTCTTCTTTATCAAAAAATAAACTGCATTGGAACACGTACACTATATATCCTACAGCTTTATTGCTTTTCTCTTCTTTCTTTCCTGTTGTTTCTTCAGCTGTCATTTATCAATTACCAAAATGGAATCTTAGTTTTGAACAACCTGCTATATCTCAATTTCTTTCTTTGACAGCTGTTTTCTCTTCTCAGATTACTCAGATTCCAAAATAATAAAGGACTTCAGCCATTCTGTAACATATAATCAGCACAAACCTTTGCTTAAGAGTTTCATCTTCCTTAAAACAAAGTATGTAAAGGAAAATTCAGCCAGCATATTAAACCAAAGGAGGAGAGAAATACTTCGCCTACAACAAAGAAACTGCCTTCATTTTTTTCATCTAATATTGCATATTAACCCAGGAGAAAAAAAACATGAGACACTTGATAAATGTTAAAGCATATCGCTAGTTGAATCCTTTCTTTAAAAGAAAAATATTTTTAAAAAGCCATACTATATAGAACTCCTCTGCCATTTTTCAAATGATTAGAGAAAACCATTTAACACGTGCTTTACAGAAATCTGCTCTTTAAAAAAAAATCATACACTTGCAAAAAAAACTCCAGGTATTAAATAAAAAGTAAACATTCATAATAAAAAAAGTAATAATTCTTTGGGTGAGAAGAACATGGAGATGAATCAGTTAAAAAGTTACCTAAATTTTTCTTTAAAGACATATTCATACAAAAGCATCACATCCTATACAGTGCTGGAGATACATCAATAATTTAATGTGAAAGAAAAGATGCTAGTTTTCTCCTTCTTCACCTTCTTCCTGTTTTATAACCGGGATACCTAAAATAAATAAATAAACAAACAAACAAATAAATAACAACAGTCATTATTGCATTTTCTTCCATTTCCTTTCCCTACCAGTTCTTCAACTTTGTGCTGTGTGTGTGTGTGAAGACTCATAAGAATATATCACTTTGGTAAAGTTTATTAACAAGAATTTAAAGGAATTCTTAGCTAGACTCTGTTTTTCTTAAAATTATTACTGAAAAACTAAATTAAAAATTAGCATAAAAATAGTAAAACAAATGACTGCCCAACCCACTTCTTTAGTGAATTTATTAATGCATCCACCAATTCTCCCATGATGTTATTTATATCAGCACAACTTAAGATAGGCAAGAAAATGGTAAGTGAGCACCTGTCCAGCCTAGACAAGTTCAAATTACCAGGACCAGATGGATTACACCCCAAAGGTCTAAAGGAACTGGCATATATGATCTCAAAAACACTGAACTATATCTTTCAAAGATCCTGGAGTACTGGCGAACTACCAGAGGACTGGAAAAGAGCTGATGTAGTTCCCATCTTCAAAAGAGAGAAAAAAATGGATCCAGGAAACTACAGACCTATCAGCCTGACCTCAATACCTGGGAAGATTCTGGAAAAGATAATCAAGCAATGAATCAGTGAACACCTACAGGCAAACAAAGTCATTACCAAAAGCCAACATGGGTTTGTCAAAAACAGATCATGCCAGACAAATCTTATTGCATTCTTTGATCAGGTGACAAAATTAGTGGACCAGAGGAATACTGTGGATATAATTTACTTGGACTTCAGTTAAGCTTTTGATAAAGTAGACCACAACCTCCTACTTGATAAGATAGAAAAATGTGGGTTAGACAGCATCACCACCAGATGGATTTGTAGCTGGCTGACCAGCCATATTCAGCGTGTGGTCCTCAATGGAACTGCATCTACATGGAGGGAAATGTGTAGTGGGGTGCCCCAGGGCTCTGTTCTGGGCCCAGTGCTCTTCAACATCTTCATCAATTATTAGGATGAGGGGATAGATGGGGAACTCATCAAATTTGCAGATGACATCAAGCTGGCAGGAATAGGCAACACTCCAGAAGACAGGCTTAAGATACAAAAGGATCTTGACAGACTTGAACATTGGGCACTATCTAACAAAATGAAATTCAATGGTGAAAAAAGTAAGATTCTACATTTAGGCAAGAAAAACCAAATGTACAGGTATAGTATAGGGGGTACCTTGCTCAATAGTAGTAACTGTGGGAGGGATCTCAGAATCCTAGTGGACAATCACTTAAATATGAGCCAGCAGTGTGCTGCAGATGCCAAAAAATCCAACACAGTGGAATACTGCATCTAGTTCTGGTCACCACAATGTAAAAAAAAGATGTTGAAACTCTAGAAAGAGTACAGAGAAGAGCAACAAAGATGATCAGGGGACTGGAGGCTAAAACATATAAGGAACGGTTGCTGGAATTGGGTATGTCTAGTTTAATGAAGGGAAGGATGAGGGGTGACATGATAGCAGTGTTCCAATATCTCAGGGGCTGCCACAAAGAAGAGGGAGCCAAGCTATTCTCCACAGCACCTGAAGGCAGAACAAGAAGCAATGGATGGAAACTAATCAAAGTGAGAAGCAACCTAGAACTAAATTTCCTGACAGTTTGAACAATTAATCAGTGGGACAACCTGACTCCAGAAGCTGTGAATGCTCCAACACTGGAAGTTTTTAAGAAGAGACTGGACAGCCATTTGTCTGCAATGGTATAGGGTTTCCTGCCTGAGCAGGGGGCTGGACTAGATAATCTCCAAGGTCCCTTCCAATAATAATAATAATAATAATAATAATAATAATAATAATAATAATAATAATAATAATAATAATAATAATAATAATAATAATAATAATAATAATAATAATAATATTATTATTATTATTATTATTATTATTATTATTATTATTATTATTATTATTTGTTCAGATCAAGACTTAAAAATACAGGGAAGAAATTATTCCAAAGCCTAAGATAAAATCAGAGTTTTAACATCAGTGTCTAACGGGAGGTAGTCTTTATTTCCAACTTGCTTATCTCCTCTCTCTTCCAACATATGTGGTTGCAGCAGCTTTTTGTAATGTTTTTAATTGCAACAATTTATTAAATTACAATATTTTATTTTAAAAACAAATATTTGATAGGAATAAAAATCTACAGATTTTTGTCTACTGTAGGTCTTTGCTGAACAATTTGGTTGAAAGCAAAAGGTCCAGTAAAATGTTTATCATAATTTAACTTTCAAAATACTCAAAATGAACAATCACAACTGAACTGGACTTTCCCAAGCTTAACTTTTCATATGAACATTTGGCTCTGTTATTAATGCTACGCTATTCTTCCTCAATTCTCACCATCGAGTTTCTTCAGTTTGGGTACTCGCTTGGTTGCCTCCTCAACCCAGGCGCTCTGTGAATCAGCAGAGTATTTCTCTTCCAGTGGATTGCCCACGAACACCAGGTCCTCCAGTAACGGCAACTCTGCCAACCTCACAAACTCTGCTGCATCCATAAAGAGATATAATCAGAAAGAAAAAAAAAGTTATTATGAAGAGGAAAAAAATTCCCAACTTCAAAACCAAAAGGCATGGGAGCCTGCATGGAGATAGAGTCATCACATCATCACTGGAATTACAGAGCTTATTTTATCTGCCTGATAATATCATGTGTGGCTTAACATGGCTTCTACCAAATGCCCATGTCAGAAAGGCAGGGAGATGTTAAGAGAATAATTCACTTACTGCGAATAATGTGAATAATTCATTTAATGTGCAATATTTCACTACCTCTGGTTTGAACTTTTCAGGTTTCTAGTTCTGATTCTCAAACAGCTGTGCCATTCAATCAAACACAGAAATTATTTTTTTATAAAATTAAGATGTGTGTTCATCAATAAGGTAGCTAAAGTGCTAATAAACAATGTTCTACTTCAGTGAAGTTCTGTGTGTGGCTCCTCACAGATCACCTGTTAACAATTCCTTAAAGCAGATGTGTCTTTCCTCAATATTACCTGGCTACTCTCTACAGCTGGAAAAGTCATGTTTGGGGTTTGGTGCTGTTGACAGATACCACTTGCACATCCACGGTCACTCTAAAATACACACACACACAAATGCTTCAGAGCACGCATGGGAATGCAAGCAGTACTCTTGAAATTCAGAGTTACTATGTGCCCATGAAGATGTTTGTCCACCTCATCAGAATTGCAAGCCCAAGGTAATTGATCAGAGGTTGCTAGATCAGCTGCATTTATAACACAAGTATGTCTCATTCTCTAGTCTAGAATATGGTGTTCCAAGAGTAGTCCTGCTAATGTAGATAGTCTGGTATAGATATTTCTGTTGTAATAATTACCAGGTGAAATTGCATACATGGAGCTGGCTTGGAAGATGATAGAAAACACAACTTTCACTTAGCAACAAATGGAAGTCCATAGCTGCACTTAATGTTAATAGGTATGTGTATGGAACACATTGTGCTGCTGATACAATTTAATCTTTTTATTCTGAAGTTTATTTATTAAGTAATTTATTAATCAAATGTATATAGCCGTCCATCTCATGAGAAATGACGCTGGGCAGTGTACAATAGTCAATAGTCAAGTTCACATGATAAGATAACCGCAACACATAATGAGGCGGTTTAGTGCAGCAGCTAAAAGCACCAAGGAAGTAAAATGATCAATACGTTTCAAAGTAGACCTGATGACATTGTCTTACCCCAATCTTTCACCAGATTATTGGACATGTAGAGAATCTTCAGCTTCTTCATCACATGGAGACCTTTCAACTTCTCAACCAAGTTGTATGAGATCCACAACTCCTCTAATGTATCCCCAACTGCTTCCTGAAAGACAATAATGTTCTGAGGAAAATGTTCTATTACCATCAGAATATTATATGACTCTTTACTTCCCTACCAGTGCATAAATTGTATGACTCTTTACTTCCCTACCAGTGCATAAATTGAGGTAAATTTAAATTTTAAAAAATGATAGCGTTGAAAGAAAAACCAAATCCTCATTCTATATACAGTATATCTAAGTTGGGGAGGGGATCATAAGAGGAATCCACAGATTTCAAAGCCTTCTAGATTACACCAGCCAGGCAAGAGTCATGTCAGGCAACTTCCTTGGGATTTTAGCCTGTTCTAGACTGACATATTTGAGAGTTCTGATCTGCTAAGATATTAATTTGTTGCAAGAAATAACTTAATTTTTATAAGACAAGGTATTCTGAATTAGAATTCAGCAGAGTGATAGACTGGACGAGAATAATAAACAATCCAGTTAATTAATGGTGCTTCAGAGAAGTTGAACTTCCCAAAAAATTAGGTTCATAGTGTAAGTGCTGTTGATTTCATTATTTTGGTGCAGACATACATATTGATCATGCATCATTTAACAATTTAGCAGATATACTAACTGTGATTTGCCTTGATAGATTGTTGCTGATACTGCTTTCTGGCAACGTGTAGTTGAATTATTGCAATGCAAGGAATAAAGAATGAAATTTCCCATATGGCAGCAATGTTAAATGGAACTAGTTGATTAAATGATTGTGTTATCTGCATTAGCTACCAGTCATAACTGGATCTTAAGCAGCGGTGGGATTCAAATATGTGAACAACCGGTTCTCTGTGTGGATGCCGCTTCCGGAAGTCCATTCTGGGCCTGGGCAACAAAAAATTAGCTACCGGTTCTGCCGAAGTGGTGCAAACCGGCTGAATCCCACCACTCATCTTAAGGTATATTTTGAAACCCTTCTTGAGCAGCTCCACTAAGTGAATTGAGCTGTACGGCTACTTAGTTGAGGTGTTGTTGGTGACTGTGACTGTGACTGTGAAAAACTATTTGTGGACCTCATATATCCCCTTGACATGAGGTAGGTATCTTATAATTCTTCATGAATCTGTGGTTCTTCCAAGATTTGTTTTAACTTACACAGTATTGTTGGTTTTATTCAATATTTGTCCCAACAAACTAATATCCACCACATGCACTGATGCTCTTACTGTTATTATGAGAAGCAACTATCTCATCAAGATTACATACCAGCCCGAAGGTCGGTATTACTCTGGAGGATGTGAACTTGATCAAACAGATTAAAGACTCATCGGGAGCTCACATAAAGAGAATTTATAATGTTTTGATTGAATTGGATTCTGAAACGGAGTTAGTTAAAGATTGTATGATAAAGTGGGCGCAGAATATTCAAGAAGTGATTCCATTGGATACATGGGAGACAATTTGGGTAAGAAATGTAAAATTTACTCAAGCACAAAATTTAAGAGAAAATTTTTATAAGATGTTTTATAGATGGCATTTGGATCCTCAAAAACTGTCACGCATGTATCCTAACTTACAGCCCAAATGTTGGAGATGTGGAAGTTTAGATACAACCTACTTCCATATTTGGTGGACGTGTAGGGATATAAAGGCATTTTGGATCAAGATTTGGTGGAATATTCAAAATATTTTTAAGAAGAAGATAAAATTTACACCGCAGTTATTTTTGTTAGGTATTATGGGAAATTTGGATGCCAAAGAAATGAATCTGATGTTGAATCTTATAACAGCTGCAAGATTATTGGTAGCTCAATATTGGAAGACGGATGGTTTGCCCACTGTAGAAGAATGGTCGATTAAAGTGTCAAATTTAGCGGAAATGGCTAAGGTTTCTGCTTATTTGAAGGATCAGTCATATGAAAGTTATATTTCGGTATGGAGAAGATGGATAGATTATATTAAAAAAAAAAATGGGACTGAAAAGTTCCATTTGGCTTTTGGGTAAAATTTTAAAATATTCTTATTGCTATTATTTTATTAAGTGCTTGTATAAAAGCTTGTATGATCTTATTATAATTTTGACTAGTAGTATTGTTTACTAGTTTGTTTGTTTTTTCTTCTTTTAATAATGCATTTAATTTTAATTTTAACTTATTTAAATTTATTTTAAAAATGAGTTAAAGTGTGTTATAGATTTGGTTATATAATTAGCTGGTTTATGTTATTTATATTATGATTATTATTTGTAACCCTGTGAACAGCTCTGGGAAGTGGGGGGGAGGGGGGTTGTAGGGGTGGGGGGATTTATATTGTAAACTTTATAAAACTTTTAATAATAAAAAAAAAGATTACATACCAGCCCATTCAGATTTTTTATGTTGTTCCTTCCCAATGACAATATACGCAAGTTTTCTGTAATAGAAACAAACGTATTTTTCTACGTTATTAGTTAAGAAATACTATAAGCATCCAGAAGCTTTGAGAATTGGGCAGCATATACATTTAATAAATAAATAAATAAACAAATAAATAAATAAATACCCAGCGCATGATACTTAAGAATAATGCAAATCAGTCCAGTTGGTCAAAAAATGTGTGTGTTGATTCCCGCTGACTACTATCCCTGCAGTTCTCTTGGCAAGATTTTTGGATGTGGTTTGCCACTGCCTCCTTCCCAGGGCTGAGAGAAAATAACTGGCCCAAGTCACCCAGATGCCTTTGTGTCTTAGGTGGGACTAGAATTTGCACTCTCTCTGTTTCTAGCCTGGTGCCTTATTCACTACACCTAACTGTTAAAGGAAAAAAGAATTTGAATAGAAAAAAAGAGAATAAAAATAGATATTCAGCACTGGACAGGTGCTACTTAGAAATGTCTTGTGGTTGCTTTAACTGTACTTTAGATTTTTGGTAACTGATTCAATCAAAAGCAAGATTTTCAGGCTACTTTAACAATATTTACTAAAAGGGTTAAGAGGTAAGGTTACAGAAATTTCAGCAACTGCATTATAGTACCTAAACGTCAGAGCCCAATTATCTTATATTTCATTAAGAGAGAGTCTTTTTCACTTTCTTTGTTAATGGCGTCACTGTGAACCAGAGAGCTGGCTGTTCTTTTTGCAAATAACGGAGGAATTAGCAGATAGTTGAGTTTTCCGAAACATTTCCTGAATCTTTCTCATGCTCTGAACATATTATTATACAGAGAGCCATAAGCTCAAGTCATGTAATAAGCCAAAATAATCAACTTCCTCATTAACATACTGAATTGTGCATTTGTGGATTCATGACATGGCTAGAGGCGACAGATGACAAGCTTCCCAAGAGGTTAAAACAATCAAAGGGAATATTTTTAAAAAAACAATCAATTCATTTTAAGTAGAAAAAGTTATACTGAATATCTTGAAAAACACTCCAAGTCTTTTTTTCTACAATGCCACAAGCCTATTTTAAATGATGCAAAAGGTTATCAGTGCAAAAGGCTATCATTCAATCAGTAGTCAAATAAAATCAATCAAGACAATATTGTACTGCTTATATTGTTTTCAAATAAAGCTTGATTTTCAAATTAACTCTATTTGGCTGCACAGTAAGACAGATTAATAAGAATAGTTATTACTATCAGCCTAAATCAATCCACAGCAGGAGAAAAATCTTTCATTAAGAATTATGGGAACAATATTTTTTAATTTATTTATCCAATTTATATCCCAACTTTCTATCCAACTGAATATTTAAGGTCTCTGCTTACATAGTGTACTAAAAAAGGAGACATCTCTATCTTTGTAGTATAAGATACATACAATAAGTCATTTTCTACAAATAGAATGAGGAACAAAATTGATAAGGTAGCATAAGCAAGTGTGACATATATAAACTCCATTTCTAGAATCGTGGTTTACCGAAGTTTGAGAAAGGAGAAATAGTTAAAATGCAATATTTTCATTATTACTTACTTAGCCCATTTAAGTTGGCAATTTTTTCAATGCAGTTTGTAGATAAAGACAATTTTCTTGAAACAAAGAAAAAAGAGGATGTTATATTAATTGTAATTCAGTAATGATTGAAGATTTATAAGCGCTTTGTGACAATTATTATTGGGGGAAGATAGGAACTAAAGAGGCACTATGACACTATTACTGAAAGTTAATTGCTCAATACAGACTAAAAGGCAAATAGCTCAAAACTTCTACATTTCAAAGCTGAAAACACAGCTCAGGTTTTAATATGATTAATTCAAATCATGATGTGGCACTATATCAATTAAGCCAAGGGAACATGATAATGTTGTTCAAAAGAGTAATGTTCAAAAAAATGTTTAATGTTGAAATTGAGAAATTGGAGGGGCGATGTGTGGGGGAATGATGGTGACCATGTGCCAAAACATACCTGTGGAAATCTCTCCACTCTGAGAGAGGGGGGGGGGACAACTATTTCTGTAGGCAATCTCTCTTGTACCAGACTAGTTCCTCCCCTCTTGAAGAATGAAGAAATTAGAGAGGAAAGGATTCCAAGAGAGTAAGAATAGCCACAATGAGGAATTCTCTGGACTGTTCTGAATACTGCATTTGCAGTTGCCAACATCAGTGCATTAAATTTATTTGCTGCCTCGAGGAACTCCATGAGATAAGTGGCAAATAAATTTAACAAATAAAATTGCTTTCAATGTGTATTTTGTGTGCTTGCTTACTCTCTTGTAATCCCTTCCTCTCCAATGAATGTAAATACAAACATTAATTCCGTTCTTGTTAATTATTCCACTTGGAGCTAGCATTCCAAAAGGCAAAGGAATGGTTAAGAGGCAAGCAAAACTGAAGGCGTAAAACTATTTAGTCCTGTCAGTTTCAAGCTGAATATAGAGCATTGCCCAGTGAGCTGGAACAGGAAAGTACAGCCCCAGTCATGTGTTTTCCCACTTAGTGACTCTTTCACTTAACAATAGAGTTGCTTAGTGATGGAGTTGCCAGTCCCAATTGTCACTAAATGAGAACTACCTGTACTGTTGAAAGCACGAACCCATGATACATTTATTTTAATATTCAGGACCTACTCGCAGTTAACAAGAGTGGAAAGAGAAGCATCCATCTTTTCTATAGGGGGAATCTGAGCATAGAGTTTCACTTCCTTGGCCTCCGATGGCTTCTGACCAGTTTTTTCTTCCTAAAGTAAAAAAGAATAATAAACAACAGCTTCCTCAAAATTTAGAGAATAATCATTCTAATCTACTCAGAGAAAAAGAAATGAACTCCTTTTAAACAGATATGCTATCACCTTCTCAATCACTGAGTGTGATTGTTAGGGGTTTTTTTACCCGTAGGCTGGAGTGAACTTTGGTATGGAATGGTAACTGTGGAGTATTTCAGGTCAGAATTAAACTGCTGTTAGTAAAAGATTTAAGGGAGGATGATTAAGAATTGCAACTAGAGTGAACTCAATACTAGCACTGCTACTACTGAAGCTGGTTAGCACATGTCTTTCTCTGAGACAGCCTCTACACAACCCCATCCTCTTTAAGTTCAAATGTGCTCCTTTTGAGTTTTGGCATCCATTTCAAAGTAACATAAGGAGAGAAAGGAATCTCCTCACCCCCTTTTCAGATCTACCCCTTTCAGGTTTTTAAAAAAAACACTTTTCTTTGCCTGTCACAAAAGAGAATTTCTCTATACGTGTTTGATGGAATTAATTCTTCCCATCAGAAATGATCGGCATAGAGATAGTGATACCACTGCTATGCTGCTTCTTAGATGCAATCACAAATTTTAAAGACTTTTTCTTTTTTTAAATCCTTAAGACCTCTCCTCTACTTGCCTCCATTTCATCCATTCAATCTCCCCTATAAAAATGACTCTCCTAAACAACTATGAGAAAAGGACAAGAGCTTTCGGAGGGAGGATGATAGTCAGAGGGAGGGCCAAATCACTATTCAAGGGGCAGGGAGGGTGACAGCAGTAAAGAAATTGGCTATTAATGGTATGATAGCTCTCCCTATGGTATTGTGTGCTATTACCTATTACAAGCTGAATTCACAGCTAAATATAGGGATAAAGCTCTTCCCTCACACATGCTGAAGTAAAAGTGGACTGAATTTGTACCCACTTAATCCACTTTCTCTTAGGGGTTGAGGATAAAAAGGAAGAAGGTGGTAATGGAGGTGACCTAAAGGAACCAGTGGAGTAATAGGTCCAGTGAGCATACTGGGTCCAAAGATAAGCTAGTAGGGTAGTCTCCAAACACGAGCTTGAAGAGCCATGGAATTATTGTCCACACCATTGTAAAACACAGATAAATAGGGAAGAAGTCACCAATTGTCTTTTAAGCTTTGGAATGCTGTAGCACCTGACCTGACCAGAACATTGAAACATTAAAGTTTTGTCCTGAACACAATATACAACAATCAGTTTCGAGTTTTCATTTCCTCATATGCCACCAACATGGAATATTCCAATAGATTTGGGGGGGGGGGGCTGTTTTGTTCTTAGCTGGATACAAAATACATTTCCTGTTTTCTCCATGCTCTTACTTGTACCAACCACACATTTCTAATCCCCATTTTTCAGCATTCTATCTCTGAGCAATTAACTAAATCCATTTACTTACCGTTCCCAATATTTCTACTTTTTCTTATTACTCTATACAACTTCAATTTCACTAAGGTTCTCTGTGCCTTATTCTGAGATATGCAGCCCAATAATCAAAGCACTTTACTGCTTCTCTTCCCACTTTGTTAATAAAGCCAGAGGCGTAGCGTGGGGGGTGCAGGGGGGGCCGGCCGCACCGGGCGCAACATCTGGGGGGGCGCGCTCGCACTCGCAGCTCTCTGCCCCTGCCTGGCTCACTCACTCTCTCTGTAGTGCTGGCTGTGCGAATCCGATCCGAGCTGCTGGGTCGCCGACGCCGCCCACTGTGAAGGGGGGGGTGCCTTGCCCCGGGTGCTGACAACCCATGCTACGCCACTGAATAAAGCCTTCCCAAACGTTTCTACCATTAGCTGTTTATCCACTACATTTGTTCCCTTTACTATGTATTAACAAAGCTTGATTTTTATGAGTTCTTGACGTGGCTTTTAATATATGTTCCTCATACAATGATTATGGAATGTCTATAAGAGGCATTTTTCAGCTTATAGTCAGTGTTATATCAATATTAAATGTACAGAAGTACATTTGCAGTTCAACTACTACATAAGCTAAAAAGTTTGATTACATAGCTTTTCTGGGTTCCTTGAAAACAATTGTTTTGCATGAAATAAAAAAAAAGCACAATGAAAATCACTTTTCTTGATAAAGAAAATCCATCTAATTAAGAACACACAATATATTTTCTACTTACCCATTTGGCCAGAGCTTCCTTGATAGTTGTTGCTTTTGCCTAATAAAAAAAACCCAACAACATATAAATAAAATGTAATGGATTTATATAACCCGCTAATTGTCTGGCTTTATCATTTGTTTCTTTGCCTGCTAAGATTTATATCCTGCTTTTCCTTCAGGAGCTCATGAAGTCATACAAAGCACTCTAGTCCATTTTTCCCCACAAAACAATCCTATGATTGAACTAAGTTGGGCTGAGAACGACTGGCTCAGTCAGCCAATGAGCTCTGTGGCAGAGGGTGGACCTGAACATTGGTCTCTTCAGTCCAATGCCTTCACCAGTGTACCACACTGACATTAATTAAATTAAGTCTTGATCAAGGAGGGGATCAGTTTAATGAGTATTTACTATTTTATTCTGGTCCTAGGTTAAAAGTCCTATGAACTTCATGTATACAATGGAATCAAATGAAAAATTTTTAAAAGAAGAATGTGATGACCCAGGGCCCTGAACGGAGGCAAAGCAATTAGCTGGTCAGAATAATTGTCTTTGTAAGCACTGCCAACGTTCACCCAACAGCCCCCACATATGCTGGCACAAGTTCAATAAAACAGTCAACGGAGTTAAACAGTTCTTTAAAATAAAACAGATAACAAACAAAGTATGATCTTTTCAACGCCCAGCTTGCCTGTAACCTGCAAACTGCAAACCTGAAGACAGCAAGGAAAACTCAGCAGGAAACAAACTTGATCCGAAATACAAAGAGTCCAGGTACAAGAGCTCACATCACAAGAGTTCACTGTTTGTTCCCAGCAAATGCCCCCACCCCACAGCGTCTCCTTAAATGCCTACTCCCCAGGTGTGCCTTGTGAAGTGGGGCGTGACGCTCTCCTCCCGAACAAGTGAGCCTGCTCCCTCCTCCTCTCTGTTCTCCTTGCTCTGGGATCTGCTTCATGTCGTCCTCAGAGTCAGGCTCAGACGGAGGCATGACAAAGAAGAACCTGTTCATTTTAGCTTATGTGAGCTAGAGAAATTAGAACTGGCAGATAATTTTCTCCTTTACTCTCCAACCTTACACTATCTAATGAATATGGGACCTTTTTGAGCCGTCATTGCTCTTTTCAAACACTTCAAGAGCGGCATGTACAGAAAAGAGCAGGGCCTGAGGAAAAGTGGGTAGAGCCTGGGAAGAACTGAACAAGTATTTGCTATGGGTATTATTTATAGTGGTACACTTATTGATTCTACTGGTATTACCTATTTCACTCAGCCTCACATCACTTATTTTTTATTGTTTGTATGAATGCACCTATTAAAATAAAATTTGTCAAAGGCTAATGTTAGTCACTTAACAAACTCAGCAGTTGCTCCTTAAATTTCTCTCTCTTTCTCTTCCCCCCCCCCCCCTTTCTTGGCAGCAAAAACTCTGCCTGTGAACTTCTGCTATAATAGACTACAATCAAAAAGGGCACTGCTGGGGCTCCATGTGATAAAAGAAAAGCAGCTGCAGTAAACTATAAGCTAGTTGGTGCTGGCAGAACATCCATGACACAACAAAATAATCATACCATTCAAAGAGCCCATTAAGTATGATATCTCAGCTCAGGAATCTAAATAAATATATATACAACAAAGGCTGCCTAATTTCTGTTTGAACATAATCAAGAAGAGGGAGCTGATTACTGCTTTGGTAACTGGGTACTTTGGTAATTGAGATATTTGAAATTTTATTATATTCCCCCTCACTCTTCTTTTTTCAAGGTTAAAGGAACCCAGCTCCTTTAATCTCTCTTCATGGGATTTAATTTCTCATTCTGTGATAATCTCTGTTGCCCTTCTGTTAATATTCCAGGTCTCTATAACCTTAAGTATGGTGCCCGCTATGGGTACATTCCATAATTTTGCTGCATCTATTAAGCCATATCTGTCTTTCTGTATTATGAGTTCAAACTCCCTGAGTTTCTCGCTCCTTGAGCAGTTCTGTAGAAATAATGAAAGATATGAATTATATGATTCAATGTGTTTTCTGATGTTTCGTTGGATGGTATCAGAGGACCTATTAGAGCAATAGTTTAGTAATTTAGTTTCTTTCTATACTTCATGACTCTTTATCTGAAATTCTTCCTCCAGGATTTTTATCTCTAATCTTATTTTTGACAAGAAATACATATTAGCATGTAACAATCCTACTGACAGAAAAGGTCAGTCCAACTTCATGTTCAGAATAATCTATACAAAATTAAAATTGTAGCACTGCTGTTTCTTACATTTAAACCATCCAAAATTAGCTGAAGCGCTGTTTATTTTATAGGGTTCATCTGACAGTGCTATATTTTTATATGGAAAATTGTGATTCAATTTTATAAAAACACTATAAAGACAAGTACCAGGATAAGACTATATGGTTCACAGATATTAAGGAATAAAAATGACATGTTTTCAGTAAAGCATGAATAAAACTACCTATGAATTATAGTGACTTTATTCTTGATGCTTTTATTCATTGAAAGGATAACATTATGTACATGAGATGCAAACCTTCACTCTTTACATTTAAATATTGCTACTTTTCTATTCTCCCTAAAGAAAACCTCTGTGAAAGAAAAAAAATTGCATAATTCTGCATAGAAGCTGTGGTAGCACAATATATACTTCCTTTGTGAAGAGTTTATAAGTAGCTATGCAAAAAGTAAAAGGAATTGAGGACAGAAGATTAAATGATTTGTAACACAAAATATTTTAGCAACTTTACATCCAGTTAAGATGCTTTTCTCTACTCAGGCTAGACTGCCAATTCTTAACAGCTAATGAAATAATTTCATTCTATGAAGTGTCACTCATTTATAATAGATAATCTGTAGCCTTAAAAGAGCTTACTGAGATTTTTAAAGTGCAAGATGAAAAGCCTTCTCTAGCTCGGTCTAGTTTTACATGTAGCTTTAGGTATTATACTGTCGCAATCAAAACCTATGTTATTCCCTCTTAAGAAGAAAAAGAGATAGTAGTGTATATATGAAAAGAAAGAATATCTGGTCAATCTATGTATGAAATATTGAATAAACCCTAATCATAAGCCAGAAAAACAGTATTTAAATTTATCATGTAGATACATATTAAGTATGGTTTGGAAAAATTCAAACTAAATTCTCTGTCATCGTTTTAAAGCATTTATTTACCATTCTATTGAAGGTGACTTCCGATATTCAGACAACCCTTACAATTTGCATTAATTATGCAGATCACTCTTCAAATGAGCACCCTGCCTATGGGAAAAAATTAAGATTGTATTAGGTTTCAACCATCACGAAGACCTCCAAAGTAAAGGCAAAAGTAAAAAGAAATTGTCACTTTTTAACATTCTTGAATCTCTTTTCAATCAGAACTCAGAAATTAATTACCTATAGCTTTGTGCAAAAGATGAACATTTTCAATTAAAGAATTCTGAGCCCAGAATTTTTTCACACAGAAATGAAATTCAAAGCCCTTCCACATAACAATTTATTCCTAATGCTCAAAATTCCTTCTTTATAGTTGTATTAGTAGGAGGAAATTTTTGCTTAACAAGCAGTAGGTCAAAATCCTTGCTGCAGATGTCTGCGCGTAAACCAAATGTGCCTTCTGCTTATTACTGTCCTATTACACTTATTGTGACATACTAGCTGGGATTCCATAAAAATAGTCTTATTTGGGTTTTTGTTCTAGAATTCTTAGAGTCAGCAGACCCCCTTGAATAGTGGAGGAAGTGGTGCAGGAGGCGGAAGTGGCAGGTAGCAATCAGCAAATCTTCTTCCACTTTCCATCAGCAGTGGGTTCTAAGGGGAATTTGTTGTTGCTGATGGAACAATGCACAACTCTTGAGGTGCCTAGCCTTTTTTTTTTTTACTAATTTCACTAAAAAAAATGAAATTAGTAAAAAAAAAAGAAAAAGCCAGGCACCTCAAGAGTTGTGCATTGTTCCATCAGCAGCAACAAATTCCCCTTAGAACCCACTGTTGATGGAAAGTAAAATAAAGAACTGTGAGAACTGAAAACTGTAAACCCTTTTTAAAGGTTCAGTTCCCCTCTTTTGTTTACAGTTTTCAGCTCTGAGAGTTTTCTATTTTTTGCTCTTCGAGGGAGATCAGAGGAAGTGGCTACTGTCTAATCAAGCATTATGCCCCAGTGTATACTTAGGCGTCTCTAACACACCACCGCCTCTCTTTGTAACCCCTCACACAGTTCTCCAGACTAAATCATTACATGCTGTAGTACAGGGGTAGTCAACCTTGGCTCTTTTATGACTCGTGGACTTCAACTCCCAGAATTCCTGAGCCAGCTTAGCTGGCTCAGGAATTCTGGGAATTGAAGTCCACGAGTCATAAAAGAGCCAAGGTTGACTACCCCTGCTGTAGTAGATGAAAAGGGAAGATTTGCAGGGACGAAGGGAGATGTTGAGACTTCAACTCACATGACTGGTGGCGGTCATTTGCTCCTCTCCTGTACCCTTGTGTGTGTGAGAGACTGCACCCACTGCTGGAACTTCTTCCCTAAAACTTGTACAAGCTCTCACGATCTCCCGTGGATCCAGTGCCTTCCCACTCCACAAGCCGGTTTCCCACAGGCCTCTTCGGTCTCTCATTCCCCCAAGGGATCTCCTCTCTCCAGCAATGTCCGAAACCTGTTGCTCCAGCGACCCTGTCTTCCCTCCAAAGCTCCCGCTCTCTCTTGCCAGAACATTCCCCGTTGCTCCCTTCTCTCCGCCAGCCATCGCCGCTATTTATACTGTTGCCCTACTACAGGGGTAGGCAACCTCGGCTCTTTTATGACTCATGGACTTCAACTCCCAGAATTCCCGAGTCAGCCGTGCTGACTCGGGAATTCTGGGAGTTGAAGTCCATGAGTCATAAAAGAGCCGAGGTTGCCTACCCCTGCCCTACTACGACTACCAGCCAGCCGGCCAACTAACGCCCCCACCCCTTCCCAAAGGAGCACCCCTCCCTCCGCCTCATCTTCACCCGGGCCTCTCTTCTTCTTCTTCCTCCCCCGGGAGCCCTCGAAGGAACTCACCATTGTTAGGATTCCAGTTGCTACCGTCTCCAGCCCTGGTTGCTATGGCAAGCGAAATCCACGCGCATGCTCACCTGAAAGCTGGGAAAAGGGGACAGACACGTGAGCAAAAGCAAAAGCAACAACCGGATCATAGAGATCCTTCTGAAAACAGGGGGAACTTTTCACTCAGGAGTCTCCCCCTAGAGGGCGGGAGGGGGAAAAAAGGTCATATTGCTAAACGAGCGTTGATTTCCATGGTTTTGTTCTTCAGCAGGGGAAGATTGGGACGCGGTGCGTCCTATACAAGCGGGATTTGAGGCATTGAACCGGTTTAGCTCTGTTCGAAAATTGAGACGTATTGTATGATCGTATTTGTGTGCATGCGTGAATGGGTGGAAGCCCTAAATAAGCAATAGCAGAATGTGGCTGTCCTTCGCGGGTAGACGACCTTCTCGTGACTTGTCCTTATCAAGGGAAGAAAGGACAAAAATTGTCGTTCATAGAGACATGCCATGACTGGGCTTTAAAAATCCGGAGGAGTTCTTTGATGCCACGATCATCCGGATTTTTATACGCCAGATATGACCACCTTGGTTCACTGAATAATTTTACCCGTTTTCATATTGGATTTCCATTTTCATCAGAGTGGTCAGAGTAACATCTGTTTACAGAGGGGTGAAATCCAGTGCTTTTTGGCGATCTGAAGTTGTTGCACATTTCCCCAAATGTAAAAGCAAAGATCGTTTTTTTCAACAACCAACCAAACATTTCCTGGCTAAAAATAAATTCCAGAGCAGAAATTGTATTGGGCTCTTCCAGCTGCAAGGAAAAACAGAACTGTGTTGGCACCCTAACATTTATGAAAAATCATTTCTGAACCACTTTTCAATTAACCAGGTGCACTTATCAGTATCAGATACATCATGTTATGTACACACATTGTAAAGAACCAACAGTTACAATTATGTTAAATAACACTGAAGGCTCTTAAACAATAGTTCTTTCAGGTGGACCTAGATACAGCGATCTGTCATCCTGTTGATACTGGGATTTTTTTTTTGTTCTTGCTGTTTCCAGATACAGTAAGAAATACTTATAATACTTTCTTCTAGCTATTTCATTGTTTTAATATTCTGCGTGCCACATAGTTGACCGAGGTAGCTTTCAAGCTGAACAAATACTACTGGATTTCAGTACATCGCAATTTTGTTCAATTTCCAGAGCCCTGAACTGGGATAAAATATTGTATCTACTTGTTTGAACTCACAATGTCTTTGCAATCAGTAACTACGGTGTGAATGGTTTTGTTTTCTGAGCTTGGATATGAGTTGGGGATAAGACATGTTGTTACATATAATTTGTTCCTGATGATACTCTTATTATACCCCTTTCAACTTTGGAAGAATTGCTGGTTTAATTTTAGAAGATGTATTTTTTCCCAGTAGAAAAGTAAGTATGTTTATGCACTAAGTTATTGAACTTAGGTGTAATTTTACAAAGTACTAGGCAAGCTGTGAACCATCAGGTTATTGTTTCAGTGATATTTTCTTACCAGATTCCTTAGTACCTTCAACAATGGCAGAGTTTCTAATGTACTGCCTTCACCCGGAAAAAATCTTAAAAATTCAGGGAGATATTCAGAGATGTATCAGCCTTGAAAGTAGCTCATGTTGAACTGTATAGCACAAACATAAGGAATTGGTCCCTCGAAATGATTTACGATATTTTGTATTAAGTCATATTTTGCAGAATTTGTCAAATTTCATTTCCACGGGAGTCATAGGTTCCAGATTTTGGATGCATTCTGTAAGTTAGCTCACTTGAGGTTCAAAATATTTGTTCAAATATTGTTGCCCTACAATGTACAGTTTTGTTCCAGTAACGGTTACACACAAACAAGAGATGTTTACTAATATATAGTGTTTGAGAAATTGCAATAAAATGTAGTTTAAGGAATATAGCTTCAGTAATACTGTATACTAAACATTAAATGTTTGACAATTTATTCTTAAAACCATTATAAATGTCAATAATATGCACAGAAGTTACAATATAGTTTTTGTCACTATAGTGATTTGTGATAGAGCATCCTATAGTGAACACGCTATAAAAACTGACATGCTCTAAACATTTTAATGGGATAGTTCTTATATTTTGGAAGTACATTTTAGTTAAAATTGCAAATTCTAGTCTTAGTAAAATTTGAAACTGTACTATGCTTTCTATTATTTCATTGTTTTTAAAAAAATCTGATTCCAACTAAAGATTTTGGCAGTTTTGGCAAGATTGATTTTGGCTAGATTCACACATAAGCTATAATATATCTTGGTGTGTTATGAAAACAGGTATCTGTGTTATAAGAGCCAGTATAATTTGAGTAGCAGCTAAAGAAAAGTTGCCATCTTTCATATTAAATTGGCTAATACACTTTGCAGATGACTTTATGTATCATTGTAAATCATTAATACCCAATTCTCATTTAAGTGTTCTCTATTCAAGTAATAATACAGTACTTGCTATGTGTGCTGAAGTTATATTCCAAAACATAAAATTTCCAGAAGGCAGAAAATAGTTATATTTTGGATATGTGATTTCAAAATGGCAGAAGTTGTACTTGGCGCAGCTGGCAATGTATAATTTGTTGTAGTGCTTTAGGAGTTAACTGGTATTTGTAACACTATAAACAAAGCCATTCTTCATTCCAGTACTCTAGATTATATTTCTAAAAATATACTTTTGGCCACTCCATCTGTACTAACCTTAACTTTGTTATCTATACTGTTCATAATATAACCCAAGGCATATATTTTATATGTTATCATTGCTCAGTCCCTGACTATTTCTTTGTTTTCTTTGGAACTTTTTTTCTCAATTTGTTTCAGTATTCAACCATCTGCCTGCTCGTCTGATCTCAAGTGCAAATTCAGGAACTCAAGAATCTTCCCCCAAGAATCTTCCTGGGCATAAGCGTGAGCTTTGTTCTCTCCACCGCTCAGAATAGGCACCCCTAGAACACGGTCTAAAGCTACCAGGCAAACAGGAAAAAAAGATGGATTAATTCGATGGCCTGTTCCAGGGTAACTCAAGAGTTTAAAATTGGCCTTCTTATGCTGGTGTAGGCACGTAGTAGCTATTTCAGCATACAAGGAGCTCTTCCAATTGTGATCATCCTCTCCGACCACAAAAAGGAAATGTCCTTCTGCCTTTTCAATGGGGATCCGGGACTGTGAATTGGCTGGATTCCTTGGGTCATCCAAAGCTTCGTAAATATCAAATATTCCATTGTCCAAAATTTTGATCCTGCTCATATTAAAGCAAAGCCCAGGCAGGGTCTGTTTTCCATAATGAAGGGCAGTGGCAGTGATGGAGCTGCAGCCAGAAATGCAGACAGCAGCCACCACTTCTGGAAGGAAGGTCGTCATTGACAAAGCCAGTTCTCCTCCTTTCCCAGTTCCAATAACACCAATTCCTGGTTTTTTAACCTTCATGAATGAAACAGCATGGGTTAAATTATGGAACAGAATGAAAAAGAATACAATGTTTTATTAACTGTTTTCAAAAAGATATCTATTCTATAAATTATGCTAAGTGCCACTGAACATCTCAGGCTAATTTGTTAAAAATACTAGGTAATAAAGAAACCTCAATGAGTAAAAGCTTAGTATATTTATAATAGGACTGTATAATGTATCTCTTTTTCAAAATAAAAATTAAAAAAATATATCTGCTCCCTCAAAAGTTGCTTTCCTATTTTGTATTACACACTGCTTTGAGACTGATAGATTCCTATATATTAAATTATTGTTAAGGCTAACCTACACAAATTCTCTTCAAAATATTCTGAATGAAAATTTATGAGCAAAAGTATAAGGAAAGTAGGGTTGTTCTCCTCTACCCTATTCCTGTGTTAGGGGTGGGGTAGGGGAAAACAACTGTACTTTGTTCAGAAAATGGATATCTTTGTGTGTGATTAAATCTGTATAATATGCTGTGATTATTAGGTATGTTTCCATCGTTTTCTTGGAAACAATCCAGATTTTACAAAGACTTTATAAATTTTTTTAAAAAATATTTTAAATGAATAACTTCTGTCATGGAAAACACGATCACTGAGAACCAAATCAGTACATGAAATCCTATTTTGAAAAGGCATACCTATTTGTTTAGTATCACAATTATGCATACTTTGATGCACAAAATATTACTACAGTAGATTTTAGAAACCAGGTTTCTTATAAACCTAAATAAGTTTACATCCAAAATTCTCTCTTGGTAATTTGATGGCCTCTGACTTTTTCCACTTCCTGTAAAGTTTTCCCACTCATTCCTTTTAGGCACATAAAAAATACCTGGCTATACAAGCACTGTCCTGCCCACCTAGCAATTTGAAAGCATGCAAATGCAAGTAGATAAATAGGTACCAGTTTGGCGGGAAGGTAACAGCATTCCGTGTGCCTCAGCATGTAATCACATGACCACAGAAATGGCTTCGGACAACACTGGATCCCTCGGCTAACAAATGGAGATGAGCACCTCCTAGAGTCGGACCTGACTGGATGGGAAACCTTTACCTTTTTACCCTTTATACAAGCACTAATCACTTTGTTATCACTATGTGGGAGCTTGATCATAACACCTAACAGTGCTGTATATTTCCTGGCAAAACAAGAGATTGATATTTGCGTAGGTTTTCCCTACAGTTTCCTCATAATTTTTTTATCCAGAATCCATTGGAAAAAAATGCTTATGATGTCTTGGTGCAAATTGTATTATAGACAGAGAAGTTTTGTTCACATCACTCACCTTCGGATGGCGCAGCAAAAACCTGGCTGCCTCTTCAAAATATTCAAGATGGAAATCATCCATGACTTTTGGGAGATCCTCAAAATTAAAATATGGCAAGGAAAGAGCTGCAAAGCCATGGGTTGCCAGAAGGCTGGATCGGAATTCGATTAACCCACCTTCATCACCAAACATGTCTATCACACCTGGAAATGGGCCGTTCCCTAGTAGGAGTAGATATTGATCAATTTTGTTGGGCCTGGACATTATTAGCAGGATTTTTTAAATTGCTTTTTTTATATACTGAAATCCCTTTAACAAGCTCATTTTAAAAGTATTTTTGGTATGACTGCCATGGGTTAGAGAGTTCAGCATATGCTTAATCCCTAGTGTTATGGAAAGGATTATATTATTTCTGCTTGGAATTTGTCCAAGACACCTGAGCTTTGCCCATCAACCCTATATATATATATATATATTGCATCTTGCCACAAATGTCCCACTGCTTATTCCCATTTGATTACCTCGACTGAGACTGCAAAAGCCCAGAATCAGTTGTCAAGTCTGGAGGAAATGCCTAATTTAGGAGAACCTGAACCACCATAAGAAGGTTCTCTACTCACCTGGCGGAAGGAACAAGCTGCCTCTGATCGCACCTTCTTTCAACCTAATCCTTCTCACGCCAGGAAGAGTGAACCACCTTTCCACGCTCGTTTGAGCAAGCACCTGTCCCGGGATGGTCCCAGGCTGACTATATTCCTGATGTACCGTGATCTGCACTTTCACGGGACTCTCCACGTCCTCGGGCTCCAGCCTTTGGTAAGGCTTCTCTATGGTAGCGGGGGAGAGGCTCCAAAACAGCCCCATGGGCTCAAGTCCGACATAGTCCCCTCCCTTAGAAACATCTTTGGACAGGTCTATTCCTCCGTGCTGGTCCGCTTGGTAATGTGCGCAGGCGTCGAAGAGGCTGCCCTGCCCGTTCACTACTAGCGCCCGGAGCGTCACTCCCTGCAAAGGCGCCAGTCCTTCGATCGTCATTTTCGCGGGCTGATCTGCCAAGCCTACAGCAGGAGTGACTGACATCGTTACCAGTCCTCTTCGGCCGTAGTTTTTCGGAAAGATCCTCTTCAAAGGGTGGCCAGGCCCGCGCAAGAATACCAGGCGGAAGCCCCATGCTCTGCCCATGACTCTTTGCCACATGATGGGCTTCCCGAGGATGGCCGAACTTCTTGCACTATTCGCTGAGCGTCGGAACTAGAAGCAAAAAGCCCGGTTACCCTTCTCTTCAGTCAGATACTCCGGGTTAAGACGCGAGAGACTGTAGCAATCGATTGCAGAGATCACGCTTCCGAAACGGGGAGTTCAAGGTCGGATTTGGATGCAACAGAGCAGTAGTCAAAAGTCTTGACTTGTGGAGTTACAGTAATTGAGGCGTCTTAGCAAGTGTTAGTAATTTATTTCACTTGAAACATTTCACCGTCAGCGGAAAAAAACATATATGTGCTGAATCTCACATATTTGGATCTGCAAATACTTAAATTTATTGCACTTCTAAATTCATTTTAAGTTAGCAGCGGCATGTATGCTATCTTACTTTAACAAATGCAATGAAACTTGATAACAATTACAATTTAAAAGTAAGGTAAGAAAAATTTAGAGCAGTTGAAAAAAGTTGTTTCTAAATTGGACTGCAGGTGGCTGGGGCTTTGAACTTGATTGTGTGTACATGGTCTCTCCCCCCCCCCCCAACTATGGATCCCAGGACTTTCCTCTGGTGTTTGTCTTGAACTATATATTTAGCACTATATGTCTTAAGGTTTTCTATGATGCTTTCCATATAAACTTTGCTCACAACCCAGGGTCACTGTAGTAAGGGGTGGCTGTATAGATTTAAATAAATAAACCAATAAATCAAAATCACACTGTTGTGGCCACCATCTGGTGCTACCACCGTATGCAGATCCCAGTCTTCAGAACTTTAATACAGAATGCAGAAACAATATTTGAAGGCTAGATAAACAATGTTCAAATGGGCTTCATTACCTAGGAGTTTGCTTCTTCTTGCCCCCATTTCATATACATTCCCAGCTTTATTCTCCCATCCCAGGTATTTAGCTTAACAAACGTACATTCTGAATCCCAGCTCATAATACATTCACAGTTTGTTCTTGCTGCTGTTGAGGGTTTTGTGAAAGAAGTTTTGAATCTGCTTCCAAGCATCCACCTGCGCTGCTGCGTGTGCTCTGGGTTCCCCTCCCCAGACCACTGTCTTGCCCACCAAAAAGTGGACTGAAGCAGGGCACAGTGGTGTATAAGGAGGTTCAATGTAATGACCTGTTTCAGGATAGCAAATGATTCCAGGCTTGTCTTTTCCATGAGCTTGTAAACAATTGGCAGCTTCCTTGGCAAAAAATTCACTCTTCCAATTACGATCGTCCATGCCCACAATAAAAAGAAAGCATCCCTCAGCTTTCTCCAATGGAATTAAGCTTTGGCGGTCAGGACCTTCAAGTGGGTTATTCAGGACATCAATAATGTCACAGATCCCATTCTGATCAATTTTGACTCGACTTGCATTAATGCCAAGAGGTGGAATGGTGATATTCTTGTAGCGTAGTGTTGCACCTACATTGGCTATAGAACCATTAACTGTGGCTATTGCAGTGATGCCTTTTAAAAATGAGGCCATGGAAATACAGAGGTCACCCCCTTTGGAGTGTCCCAACAGCCCAATTCCTGGACCTTTAACCTAAAAAGAAGGAAAGAAAGGAAAATCAGATTCACACTGCCAACAATGTTTCTACCACATGCTGATCTATGTTCATATACCAACCCTAAATGAATAACCAGATGAATGTTGTTAAGCACAGCATATTATGGTTTAATCAATCAGCCTCCCCTTAAGCAAACCAGAAGTATGTGTTATGCGGACACAGCCTCTAGGAAAATAATCCATGCTATTTCACTTTCTGTTACAGTAATTGCCTAAAGCTTTCATGCTTCAGTTAATCTTGCACCCCTTTGGCTGCCCCAAATGGAAAGAAATGAGTTGTTAAGGCCCTTAAACTTTCCATGATCTATTTCAGGAACATAGCACAAAAAGTTCAACATGTTGAAACCATACAGTAATTTCACAGAATTAACCGCACTGACACTTCTAGTTTAAAAAAAAATACTGAACCTTTAACTGATAACAGTAGTTGAAGTTACTGATATATTAAGCAACGTGCTGAGCTAATATATGGATAAGATTTTGCTGCTAATCATGATTTTTCTTTTCAACTGATTATGGATAGTTTTTATTTTTATTTTTTTTTATTTTTTTTTTTTATTTATATCCCGCCCTTCTCCCGTAGGACTCAGGGCGGCTGACAATCTATTTAAAATACATACAAAACAATACAAATTTAAAATTAATTAAAAGGAATATTTAAATATTTGTCGAATTTTAAAATATAATTAAAACCCCCCTAAAAATTACCCTAGGCCAGTCCTGCAAGCTGGAATAACCAAGTCTTGAGGGCGCGGC